GCAGGCTCACAGGGAAACCCTGCAGCCTCGGCACCCCAGAAGCATCTCCAGTCTCCTCCTCTCACCCTTGGGCTTGTGTCTGACGCCAGGGCTGGCCAGGGAGTGGGGTCGTCGAAGGGTTCTGGGGCTGGCAGTGCCGATGCTGACTGGCTGAGTGACGCGGCTGCCCGGGGCCTGCTTGTTTGTGGTCTGGGTTGCATTTCCGGCAGCGGCCTCGTTCTGTGACCCCCTCTTGATGTCAGCAGGACTGTGCAGTCCCACGGGTGTTCCTGCCCCCACGTTGCCGGTCTCGGTACACAGGTGACTAGGCACACGAGTTCCGACTCCGAGCAGCAGCAGCTGGGTCACCTCCGAGTTTCTTTTGCTGCTTTGGCTCATTTCCCTGTGCCCCTCGGGTGGCCACGAGGTCTGTGAGTCCATCTGGGGAGACATGGAGCTAAGACTCGCCAGGCTGGGCTGGCAGATGTCACGGCGCCCCGAGGAGAAGGGCGTTCCTGCTGCCTCGACCCAGGAGGGGTTGGCCGGGGGCAGGAGGACCACGCCCTGGGGCTGTGGCTGAGGGGACGGTCCCACAGGCCCATGAGGCTGCCCTGCCCAGTGTCCCCCCCACCCCACCCCGCTGTCAGTCGCTGGCCAGGGTGTGGGAGGCACCCTGCTGGCACTTTCCCTGCTGAGCAGCAGAATGGCCGGAGGGGAAAGTGGGGCATCTTATCAGCTCCTTAGCGGCTGAGTGGGTGGTTGCGGGGCCGGGAGGGAGGGTGGGAGGACCCAGGCAGGGCATCGGTGGGATACAGATGGAGCGGCGGGGGCTCCGGAGGGCTGCGGCGTGATTAATGGCCCTTCCTGAGTGCCCTATGCCTGCCAGCCTCCGAGAGCAGCGGCTCTGGCAGCCTCTCGCGCACTCAGAGAGCACTTCGGTCCTGGCTGCATCCGAGTGCACCAGGCTGGGGTGGCAGCATTTGCACATCTCTCCCCTTTCCTCCGAACCTGCCTGGGCTCCCGCTTCCTCCTTTGCATGGCGGGGGTGGCAGGAAACCCAGCTGTGGGGCGTTGGGGGGCATGAGGAGCTGATGCTCACGAGCTGAGGTGCACACGCAGCGCCTGGCATGAACCGGGAGCCTCAGCACCTGCCGCTGCTGTCGATGCCACGTCGTTCCTCTGGCGTCGGCCCTGTCCCGGCCATGAAAAGGGGTGCTGGGTGCCTCCCACAGATGAGCAGCGTTCTCCTCCCTCTGCTGGCCTCAGTTTACCCAGCACCGCTTGGCGAGTTTTCCTGGGATCTCCTTATTTCTAGAAAGAGTCTCACAGCAGGGAGAACCCAGAACCTGCCTGGAGCCCCAGGGCATGGCTGAGGCTGGCCCTTGGACTCAGGGAGTCCACACAGAGCTTGCACCCGTCCAGACCATCCGTCCAGGTGTTCGCCCAGCCCTGGTGTTCCGGTGGCCTTGGCACTGGTGAGACCTCAGGGTCCTAGGAGGTCTTGGCATGGGGCTGGGGTGGCGGGGAGCCTCCCTTACGCCTCATCCCTGGGGCCCTACTATCTTGGCTGAGGCCTCCACTGCCCACCACCAGGGGGCAGCAGAGATCACGGTCCCCACGCCCAGTGCCGCCAGTAAATCAGCCTGTTTATTAGTGGAATAAAAAGTCGCGGCATGGAGGGGCTTTTCCGGGCTGCATAAATCTAGTCTGTGCCTCGTGGAACCCATATGTGCTTAATTCATATGTAAAGTTTCAAGCAGGAAGAGAATGCGTGTCCATTAAATTCTATTTGACTTGATTATAATCATTAG